ACTTCCATATGGACCATATGGATAATCATCATAAATAATAAAAATGAAACTAATAAAAGTTTATCTATATTTTGTTTTCCTCGTTTTAAAAATGATACATTGTAATACATATTAATCAATTACTTCCATATGGATAATCATCATAAATAATAAAAATGAAACTAATAAAAGTTTATCTATATTTTGTTTTCCTCGTTTTAAAAATAAAATAAATGATACATTGTATAGCTACTTGAAATAAACTGTACATATCGATAGTAATTTAGAGAGATATTTCATTGATTTAATAAATAATTTATTTCAATTCGTGATCAAAAGTTAATGATCTTTTATGTTGTGTTCCACACAGGCAAAGCCCAGCATTGTAAGTAATTTAATTTATACGCCTGTTATATGTAGAATGTTCTATTTTCTTTTTCCTTGAAAGAATGTGATGCTGTTATCAAAAAAATTTGTTCTTCTTTGATGTTATATTTTTGCAAAAAAAGCATGCAATATATAAGTATCAGTAAAGATCTTGTTTGTAATATTTTTGGCTTGTTTCATATCTTTTCATCTCATTTGCAATATTTTTGGCTTGTTTCATATTTTTCTAAACTTATTATAAATTTATGCAAAATTGCATACACACAATGGTTGAAAATTTACACAACAGCTATTTTTAATGTCTTTTACGATTTTAAAAATATGCTTGATAACATTGTATTTTATGAGCATTGCTGTATCTTTTGTATATTAGGGCACTCACACCGACCTAGTAGTACAAATAGTTTTGATCGCAGAATCTATGCGATTGCAAGCCATGATGGCCACCTATGGTATTCAGACACAAACGCCACATGAAGTTGAGCCCGTTCAGATTCTTTCATCCACTCAGTTAGTGAAGGTTTATCAAAAGCTAGGAGTGAATAAGAAGCTAAATCTCCAAGGACGACCCGCGCGACCTATAGGTTCTCTAGGTACAAGTAAGGTATGTGTGATGAAGGGTTCTGTATTTTTTTCCACTAAAGAGAGAGAGAGAGAGAGACGTGTTTCTATAAGCAATAATACATAATGATGTAAAATGTGTAAAATAAAATACAATATTAAAAAATATTAATTACAATATTAAATAATATTAAATAATATATAAAGTAATACAATAATTAAATATCTTGACAGATAAATTCTTTTTTTTTTTACATGAGCAGGTGTATAGAGTCTGTGGTATGACGGTACTCTGTTATCCTTTAATCTTCGAGGTGTCCGAGTTTTATTTGTACAGAGACATGGCTTTACTGATCGATGATATTAAAACGGAATTGCAATTCGTGGGCAAATATTGGCGTCTCTCCGGCCGACCCACCGTATGTCTCTTGATACGAGAGGAACATATGCGGTAAGTTCGCACACTTGCAGTAAGTTATTTATATACGTAAATGGGTCGTAATTGTGTCTTATTTTTGTAAAAATTTGCCTAGAGATCCGCAATTTAAAAAGATGTTGGACCTCTTTGCGATGTTGAAAAAAGGCTACTGCGATAAGACGAAAGTACGCATCGGCCGTCTACAAAATCTGATTTCATCATCTTGCATTGGTAATGTACATAAGATTGATTTTTCTGAGCATAAAAGATAACGGATAATTTACAAGAAATTAGACTTATAAAATTTTAAATCTTGCATTTAGCGCAATTCTTCAACTGGCGATATTAATATTCTATATAATAATATTTCCTCTCTCTCTCTCTTTTTTTTTTTTTTTTTTTTTATAATAATAAAAATATATGAAATAACTTTTGAAATGTAATATAACATTTATTATCAGCAAAATTCCATCGAACAGATGATTTTTGCGCTATGATTGCATACGATATCATATGATAATATTATAATTCAGATTACTTATATATATATAGAGCATTTGGACTTTGTAAATACAATGGAAACAGATCTGGATCTAACGCAGTTTAGACAACTGCAGCATGATTATATTGGTTATCAAAGTCTCACGGATGTTCCAAAAGCCATCGCTTACGCAGAAGATGTCAATGACTATTCTGTAAGAAAATTGTTTTAAAATTACACAGTTAATTCCTAATCGAATAAACATGTAAGCGATAGTAATATATTTTTCAGCATATGATAAATGAACCTCTGAGCAATATATTAAACGAACTTCGCAATAGCATTGGCTTATATGCCAAGTGTCAACTATATGGTATCCTGATAAAACGAGAAGGAATTAATTATGAAATTAACGGAACGACAGGTATTTTGTATTTTTCTTTCCTCTCTCATTTTCTTCGACTTTATCTTTCGTTCATGATTTTTGACTCTGTAGTTAATCGTAATTTTTCATCATTTTTCAGTTCGTGATAATTTGAGATCGTTATATCAACAAGCTGGATCCTTAAGATTTTGGATAGCTGTACGTTACTGCAGCAGTTTGTTGAATCATACGGTGGACAGCATCAGTCCTTTTATTACTGGTGTACTAGTCAAGGGAAAGCAGGTATCAATAGAGAGTATACAGACTCTAAATTTAATTTTTTAATTCAATTGGAGCTTATCGCCAATGCGGTATTAGATCGCAGTGGGAGTGATCGGGCAGGAAGAAACGGTGTTCGACAAACCGATGACACCGGCTGAAATACAATCAGTGATGTATTCCACGATACAACCGCACAATGCGGTGCAAGCTGTGCTTCAACAAGAGATTCTGCTGTATTGCGGCAGACTTATTGGTACTAATCCAGAGATGTTTAAAGGCATACTAAAAATACGTATCGGGTAAGGTATCGTTTTTTATAATATTCTCGATTCTACAAAAAAAAAAAATAAAAAGCTTAATCGCCATTTGAATGACGTTTAGATGGTTCTTGGAAGCGATAAAGCTCTACTTGCAAATGTTCGTGAAGAACGCCAAGCCGGTCGAGAATTATAGTCCTTATGAAATTCGGCAGTTTCTTATTAAAGTATTGACTGTCAAGGAATGGGCCCATACAGAAAAGTATATTGTTTGCTTTATATTATAAACTTGTAATGCTTTTTGATGATAATATTTATCGTATTGCTGGTATTAAGTCTGACAGTGCTTGGCCGCCGGAAAATTGAGGGTTGCTTATGTAGAGTGCCGGCACACTTTTATAATCAAGTATGGGAGGTTTTGATGCGCTGCCCCGGTGGTATCGTAGTGAACGGACGCGAATTGCCTCAACAGCCTACCGTGTCCAGTATGACACGTTCCGAGATCACGTTTGCTCTACTCGTGGAGTCCTTACTACATCACATACAGATGCCGGAATACCGTCAGATCGTAGTTGAGGTGAGCGATTTTAACAAATATTATTGAGCTGTCTCTCCATTTTTTCTTTTCTGTCTACTTATTTACTTGACTGCAAACATATAAAATACAAGAAATTCGGACACTGAATTAAAAAAAAAAAAAAAAACTTAATAGGAGACCGTAGCTACTAATGTTTACATTTCATATAAAAAAGAAATGCTTTTACTATATGATTACAGCTGTTGAGTATTGTATCGACCATCTTGCTTCGAAATCCGGAATTAAGTTTTCAGAAACAGCTGCATCTCAACCAGCTTGTGGAAGATAGTTTCATCATGTACTGCAAGGTAATATAAATATTATAATGTATTTTTTTTTTTTTTTTTAAACCTTTGCCATATGTTCACAGGATCACAATTTATCAAATATCGATGATAAATCGTCCTTTTTCTCTGCACATTATTCGGTGACCACGGGATATCTTGCTAGGGCCGTAGTCAACAATGTTCTTACTGGTGGTTGCGTGACTACTATTGTAGATCCCAGCGATGTCATCGAATCGCCCCGAGAAATGTGTAAAATTACATAACGATACGAGTCGGTTATCAAGGAGGCTAAAGATTTGAGAAAGATTATTATTTATAATATTAGTAAAAAAGTATCACATGTAGAGGCGTGTAATATAGCTCGCTATGTATATATGTATTATCAGGTTCGTAGATAAAGCACGGCGATGATATAAAGCGCCAATCAAGTTTCAATGCAAAGCTTTCGCTCTCTCTCAGATATATAGTATATGTATATTTTAAAATATCTTTACATTCAAACAGATATACATATTCTATACAAAAATTGTATAATTGTATGAAGTATATGTGATTGCAGATAAAAGTCATCTCTTGGCGAAATTCATGTCCATTGCGCGACCGGAACGTTGTATGTTGTTAATATTGGCTTTGATCCTAGATGCGACAGTGCCCATTTCTGTCGCGACGACCAGTTGTTTCCTATAACAAATGCCACATTTTAATCGAACTAACATTCAATAATGTCCAAACTTATTTTTTATATATTATATATTTATTTCGCAAAGATGTATGTACGCATTTGAGCGCGAAACATGTCTAATCGTGTACCTGATAAAATCCTTGTTGTACGAATTATTTTGGATTTCCTTTTTCTCTTCCTCGCGGTACATTTTCACATTTTTCTCTCTCTCTTTATCGCGCCACGCTGCGTTTGCCATCATTTCTTGTCGCCGTTGTTCCTTTTCCTTCTCGGTAAGGCTCGGTTTTGCTTTCGGTCTATATTTTGCTTCTTTTCTATCCTCTTTCAATTTCATGCGATTAATATCGGAGGTAGATTTAGATCTTTCGCTATTCGATATCTGTAAAATCAAATATTTTAAGTTAATTTTAATTATGACATGAACGAGACGCGTTTTCATACACGTCTTCATCGAATAATAATATATATTTTTTAAAAATACATATTTTTTTAAAGATTTTTTTTAAAGATGATTTGAGAGCTCTCTCTCATATTTCATAAAAACTATCTGTTGATGTTATTTATAAAACTGACTTTTTATTAAGATCCATCACTCACTATTATATCGTTTCGTTTTACCGCAGAGTATTTTTTTTCATTTTTGTAATTATCCTTTGAGCTATCTCTTTGCATATCGCTTTGCTCGTATCGCTGTTTATAATTCAAATTATATTCTTCCTCATGCTTTCTACTTCTCTCATACTTTGGATCTCTATATTTGCTCAATGTTCTTTTCCTAATTCGTTCATTGTCTATCTTTATATCATCTTTCGAACCTTTTCTATCATATTCCTTTTTATTATCTTTCTTCTCATGTTGAGTGACATTTTCACTACTAGTGCTCTCAGTACTATCACTGCTGCTGTCACTATCGCTTGTATGTTTCTTTTGTTTTTTTCGCCGTTTGTGTCGCCTTATCTTAACAGAAACGTCGTCGTTACTGCTGTCTGATTCGCTTTCCGAATCGTGACTATGCTTTTTTGATTTTTTCTTTCGTTTATATTTGATTTTTTTCATCGATTTTAGCAAATCTTTTTCGCTAATATTATCTTTTAATTGTTTATATTTAGTTACTAGCAACTTATCCAATTCAACCTCGTCCTCACTGCTATCTTTCCGCTTTGACTTTTTCTTTTTTTTCTCACTTTTGCTTTTACGCGACTGCTGTTCCAGCTGTAAATTATACACACGTGTAAATAAATATTTCACACAAGAAAGTAAAAAGATGAAATATCAATGTTCACTTACTAATTCTTTAAGTTGCTTCAGTTTGACAGGATTTTTCAAGAGCTGACTCCTACTTTCCAGTTCTTTTTTCTTGATGGTGTATAGAGGATCCTCTTGCATTTTTCTAACCAGATCTACTTGCTCATTACCAGAGAAAAATCGCAATGAAGGTGGAATGCATTCTAATGGCAAAATAAAAATGATCATAGTATCATATAAGTTTTATTAATTACCATATAAACATGAATATAACTTTACCATATTCAACATGATTTTTTGGTACTTTAATCAATTCTGCCTCTTTCTCTGCCTGTTGCATTTGTTCAAAGGCCTTGTCAACTGGCCTGCCCAGTAGATACTCTTCTCTATTGACCATTTGATTCGGCCCTTTGTACATCCAATCCAATTTCTTTTCATCCTTCTTTTCTATCACACCTTGTTCCATAGCATACTTTGTCATATCCTCTCGATCTTTCTCCATTTCGATCTGCCTCTTTAATTCGGCTATCCTTTTATTTTCTTGATTGTTTTGCTGCTCCGCTTTCCTTACCTTCTCCATGTTTTTCATAGTAGATGGATGCCATGACTTCTTCAGATTCTACAGAAGAATTTTGTCTTTATTAGTCGAAAAGTATGGCAAACATGATGTCTGGTTTTTGCATTGTTTTATAATAAATTATTACCAAATCTCCGCCTCCCATTTTGCCGTATTAAATGTAACACTAATGCTTACTATATATAAAATTCACACTGAAACTATTATCGATATTAATACATAGTCGCACTTATTGAGAAAAAAATGTTGAGTTTTTATGATGAGAGTTCTATAAAACATATATAAATATTATTTCCATTTTTCTCTATTCCAATTCCTCACACTTCTAACTTTTATTTAGGTTAATTGAAATTATACACAAAGGCCAAAGAAAGGAGATTTCTCTCTTGTGAGCATATATCATACATTCTCTAGAATGTGTTCAGAATATAAAGAAATATGATATAATATGGCGGCAATAGAATTGCCCAGCCAATCAGAAACGGTGTTCAATGTCCGAATTTCAATAGTAGTTGGCAATCATGTTACTTTTATATTTGGGATCACTCCTGATTGGTCAAAGAATATTTGAATCGTTGCGCACATCCACGGAAACATTACATTTATTTTATTGCATCGTGAACCTTCTCGGATCGCAGATTTTTCAATGTTTTCGGTAATCATAATTGTTAATTTATATAATATATTGATACTTTTCTTGCTAATGTGTATAAATGTAATGGAGAACATATAAATATCTCGTAAATACATAACAGAAAAAGATGTATTAAAAGATATAAAAGATTAAAGAAGATTATGAGTATCCGCGATGATTGTTATCTTGCTATTTATTTTTATAATTTATTCAAATATACCTATAAATTCATGCCAGTAACCATATATTACGTTAAAGAATCAATTCTTCTTTTATCTATTTATAAAATCATATATATGTGAAAGATTACATATCTTTCTAAGAATAACTGATATAACAGTTTATAAATATAACGGACACATATTCCAAGCAGAAGAGAAAATCACAATAATATCAAAATGATATCATAACGACTATCAAAAGTCATTATGATATTATTTCGATGTCATTTTGATGTCATCTTGATGTCATTTGATATTATTATGATTTTCTGTTCTGCTTGGGATATATATGCGCGCGTGTACGTGACACGTATTATCGAGCATATTTATTTAAAGCACACAATAAGTAAAAAAATAATAATAAATATATTTTTTTAATTCTGCTTCTCTCTCTCTCTCTCTCTTTCTCTGATTCGTTGAATTGAAAATAATGTCTCCGTATAAACGAAAATGTTAATAATATTTGTCGTTTTTACTACTTTGTGAAACTATGTTATATATGACATTGTAGATCATTGTCAATTATCCTGTGTATTTTGTCCTGTAGGTTTTATTAGTGTCAATTCGTACAAACAGAATAATGTTGCCGTTATCGAGGAAGGAAATCAGCAAGGAAAAAGACATAAATATGCGCAGTCGCTTCTAATACTGAGTTAATCCGTTGTTATGTACAAATGGAATTTTTTACAGTAATATTGCGCAGAAAAGGAAAGTTCTGAAGGTACGTCTACAAAATTACTATACAAAACATTATATGTATATATACATAATATTTATATTTTTATTATTATTTTTAAACAACAGAAAAAGATTTAATTTAAAAGTAATAAAATGTATATATACTTACAAGATATATCGGTGATATTTTTTTCATTATCTGATTTAACATATCCCTTTTCTCTACGAGTTGCGTGAACCGATTTATAAAATCGTATGCCTGACGATTTTTATGCTTGTATTCTACATATTATCCTGAAACATTCTCGTAAAAAACTTGATGACATCTCAACCTGTATATATGGAATGAAAAAGAAATTCAAATTTTGGATGTAAATATAAACATGCACACACACCCAAAGCATTTTTAAAAGAATTTCTTCCAAAAGTTTTTTCTCCAATACCGAAACTTATTCTCTTCTAATATGCAGTTAGATTTGATTCCAAAAGCCGCTGACATAATTATATCCGTTGTGAACTTATTGTTCTTTTTTTGACAGATTATTCTAATATTCTAATATCTAAAAATATTCTTCAAAGAGAATAAAAGTTTTAAAAAATCTTTCTTTTAAATCCATCTTTTATATCGATGTAACCTTTTGGTTGAGCTGTGCTCTTTAAATTTTTTGCGAATTCTCCGCCGCATACCAGATTAATGTTATTTTCGATATTGAAAAAGATCGTGCTATTGTTATAATAATATCACCCCGCGTGCATGACGCGTGAAATCTCCCGAGACAAAAACAGGTGAGCTCGATGCCCGCAATGCATGCAACACGGTGCATCAAACTGCATTGACATAAAATTTTGCTGTTTACGCAATTTCTCATTTTAATTATTTTATTTATACGACAGTTTCCGCGACGATTTATTTGTTTCGTTAAATTCACGATAATTATACTCAATATTTAATAAAAGCGCCTAAAAAATGGGCAATAAACATTCCATTATCAGTAATAAACTTTGGACATGGGATTTAAAAAAATGCATTCATAGGCATTTTAGACATAGACTGTAATCGAATGTTTGGAAACTCAGTGTCTTTTTATTCATTTATATTAAATTTTATAAATACAAAAACAATAATAAATTTTTGTACAACTTTCACAACGTTTTAAAATTAAGAAAGGGCCCCTGCTTGTACTTCGAAATAGGTTGCTCTCGTGTTCTTCGATTTTGCGAGAAAAGATTCTCGAATGATAATCCTAATAACAAACGCAATGAAATGAATGCGTAGCGAAATGATGTTTTGTTTTTTCCTTACGAAAATGATATACTTGTATATGTAATCAGTTCTACACGCCAGCTAGAATAGAATAATATTTTGTCTCGCCGGCATGTACGGTTTTACAATCGTAAAAAAATAATAATTAATAATATTAATAAAATAATAATAAGGACAATAATGATAATTAATAATAATAATAATGATAGTGTAATCGCAATAATAATAAAATAATATTTAATAATAGGCATTATATATACTAACAGTAGTGACGTCATTACTCTATTATTTTTCTTTTTCGTCATTAATGTAATACTTAATATATATAATTAACGCTCGATTCGCATTACACCACGCGGTTTACATTCGCCATAACAATTATCATATATTAGGGAGCAATTAAAGTCCCTCTTTAAATGTTAAAATTTTGAAAACTTTAAAATGAACCCAAAATAAATATAAATTAACAAGCCTCCTTTATCCCTTCTTCGCGTTAGTTTCCGAATTTTAGCTTCAAAATTGTTGCGATCTCATGTTGTACGAATATCATATTACGTTATTTTATTAAACAGAAGCGTTACGTATTCGCGGAAGGATGTCATTCGAAATCGGGCGATCTTAAAATTACGATTGCACTGTTATCAACGCTAAAAGCATTGAGAGAATAACGAGAATGAGCCGCGCGGTGTATTCTCGCAGCAATCGCGAATATAATGTATAGTACACGATACAAGAGTTATGCTACTCGTTATTATTATATAAGATGAACGCATATATGTACACGCATGTTATGGTAGCCAGGCGTCGCGAGCGGACATGTGTATTATTACTATCAGTGTCGTTTGCGGCGAAACTCTGTTTGACAGATTAATTTGTATGCATTCAGTTGGGGCGTATCAAAGAGAACAAAAACTCGGTAGCAATTATATTCCGTGGAAACTGACGTTTACGGAATCTAGGATTATTAATTTTGTGATGAATGTGATTAAAATAAAATACATGTATAGAGAAAAATAGAGTCATTTTATGAAATACAAAGTCTCTGAAAATATGATCCGAAAAACTCAGCATTTGTGAAATATAGAATCATCCAGGAAATTTAGGATTTATTTAAACTATAGATATAGAATTTTTTTCATCTACGATCTAGAGAATTTGCATTAAGTTTCTGCAAAGTCATGCGAGATTAGTTTGCGACAATAAAAAAAAAACACAAAGATTTTGGCAGATGTCTTTCTGTCAAACGGATTTTCACATTGTAATAGTATAATGTATAGAGTAATATAAAATGTGTTGTTGTATAGTTTCGCATCACACTAGCATGCATGTGCACATATACGCTTGTACTGGCAGTGGGCTCGGCTCCGCTCAATACTCTGATACTATGGAGTTTTTATCACAGAGATATTAAATTGTTTGGTGCACTTTTTTCTCCCTTCCTACCCTTATTCTTCTCTATCATTTCTTTTTTTTTCGCAGACTGTAATCCTTTTTTTTTCTTATAATTCCGCAGCGGTATCGTCTGGCTACTCTGATTAATATGTTACACACTAATTTTCACGCACTAAATAACCGCACTAAGATCGATTTCGAATCCTCACAAAAGCGATAAACAATATCGACGATACCATCAAAGACCGATTTCCTTCTTTACCTTTTCGCCAACTAGATTTGTCGTCCTTGTACGTTTTATATAAGCTGTCTATATATCTATATATATAAATATGCAATAATATATCCGAAAGCCCACTAATATTGTAGCTTTTCGGGAGCTAAATTCAAAAGTTTTCCAAAGATCCATGACGACCAATTTCGCCAAATATTTAAATAACTTTGATCTTGGTTTAATGGTTTAATATTTTGAACCTCTATATTTTTCTAGAATTACGATTGAAAGGCGGCAAATAGAATAAATTGGATTGGGATTAACCGACGAAGTTGACGAAATTGGCCTCTGATGTTCGAGAATATATCTAAATTTCCTGATGAGTTGTCGACGGATAAAATTCGCCCGTCCGGTCCAAACATCCGAGATTCCAGTGGCGTCATCGTCGAGCAACGTCGAGGTAAGTTTTTATTTAATACTTATAATAAAAACATGAAGCGATTAACACGCACAATGCCAATTGTTACTTAATAATTTAAGCAGCATAAATCAATTTTTAAAAATAATGATAATTCGGAAAATAAAATTCTCTATACTCTCTACATTGAGGATTACATATATAAAAAATAGTTTCTCAGATCTTTGATGATCTTAAATCTTCGGGAGGATTAAAATTTTCAGATGAATCGTAGAAATTGTATAATCCCACATTCACATTATGCCTGTCATCTTTATAAAATTTAAATATCAAATTGCAAAAAATAATTTATACGCTAAAAAATGACTTTTACTTATCGCACATGTTTATCGTCTACTTTTATTCAGCCGATAAATATTCAACCGATGACAACGACGATTAACAGTCACTAGGAGCCACCTGTTTGCAACCGGATTATGACGCTAACGACGTAGACTGACGTCAGTCTTGTTAAGGCTGGCAAGAGATTAGATATTCGACCTTCGCGAATGCATCCGAAAGACGAATTGATCGGCACGAGTTAGACAATTACACAGGACAAACATACGACGTCAAAAATTAGGCCCAAAAGCGGGCGAATAAATTATTCGAAAAACACGGGTGCACGGATCGTCGTTTGCGTGCGGCGATGATATAATATGCACGGATGTCAGAGTTACAATTCCTCGCCTCGCTTTGCTCAACGAGCGAACGTTAACGGCCAACTCCCTCCTATATTATATTGGTCGGTAATTACGTAATAGTATTTATTGGCCGTAACATTCGGCAGTTGTGTAGCTAGCGATGTATTTATATTTCGAAACATTGGCATTTATATATATGTACTTTTAATTAGTTTGTACATTGATCACTGAGCGCTATATTGCTGGCAATAGCTGCCGTATATAAAGCCAGTTTAAAATAGCTAAATGCTATAGGTATCAGTACATTTTTTCTATAAGTATCTCTATTTTTTAATATTATATATTGCAGTATGGCCTGCAGTAGCCAATAGCAAATTCTTTCTTGTTTAAATAAAACGTTAAAACTCTCTCTCTCTTCCTTCGATACCTATGATATTTAGCTGCTACATACGAGTCAATGTTAAAACAATGTAACTCCAAGAAAAAAAAAAGCCTTTGTTTTGGGAAAATCGTACAGCAACCAAGCCGCGCGATATTATTCAAGGCAAGAAGATCGCTATCTTGAAAGTCTCTTGAATTTGATAAAAATGCATTCACTTAATTAATTTAATTTAATTTAATTCTGCCTGTAAAACTGTTATCCATCCGTTGATCCGGTCAACGACCTAGGTTAATGACTGCTATGTGTATTTAATAACCGTTTAAATTTCGAGGAGGAAGAAAAATACACACGCTAAGAAAAATAATATTTTTGCGTCAACAAAATTCCAATCTTTCGCTAAATTCTAATACATTGGTGGATAAATTTCACAGATTGATAGGATAAAATTTCAATAGATTGATAGAATTCGACCGATACATTATTAAGAAAAAAAAAAAAAAAAAAAAAAAAAAAAATGCCATTTAAAATATATATATATAACGTATAAATGAATTAAAAGATATAAATATATAACTTAAACAAAACATAAAATGTAATGAGCTTTTAAGAAGAAAAAATATGCTTAATCTTTCTAATTTTCAAAAAAAAAGAAAACTTTTTCATTCTTTCTCTAATTAATAAAATTCCCTTTTTTGAATTATTTCAGTTTTCTAAAAAATTTACTTTTATGAAATTATATTGTTTTAATATCGAGCACATATATACAATACGTTCGCGCAGTTACTTCACCGAGCACGCTTGCGATCGACGCGATTCTCTCGATCAAAGAATATCCAGTCTCTTTCTTTGTCTTTTACATCCTCCGACATATACATTACAAGCCTCGAAGACTGAGAGACTATCGAACAGGTGGAGAAGGTAGCCGCAAACATATTGTCGTCCGTAAACTATTAGGAAAATACACATAGTCCATGACGGACTACACGGATTAATTAGTAGTATCAATTAAGTAACAAGCGCGATTACTGTCGATTGTCGAGCTGACTTGACGCGATCAGCTCTCTTTTGACCGTATGGACTGTGAATAGAAAGATAAAATGCTGACGAGCTGCAATACACTCGCATCACGTTTCGCGTTAAGATTCGCCAAAGAGAAGAATGCGAGTTCCTCCCTTCGGTCCATTTCTCGGAAACAACTGGACCGCCACCGTGCTGCCCAGATACAGTTTCTCGCTCATCGCGATCGCTGAATTAAAAAGTCCGTTTGTTTATGCGCTTTGCGATTATCACTCGATGTCGGAAAACCAGTGGAATCCGCGAAGATGCCCAAGATTTGTTCTTCAGCTTGTCCTAGAAGCCGAAGAAGCCGGATTGCTTCAACTTTCGTTTCTCAATGCCACCGGATAGACACCTTCCGGGAGATCCGTTCTTCTAGTTTCCAGAGTCACGTGGTCTTCGCGAAGCGAAGACTGTCATGGGCTTCAGCATATTCACTATGAAGCTCGCGCGAATTGAATGACGGAGTTTTGCCTCTGCGAAGCCGCGATTAGGCCGTTGTTACTTCTATACTCGCTCTCCATGGACTGGAGTATCATCTTGCTGCGCTTTCTGGGCGGCAGAATCAGCGTTTCCCGCGGCGGAATTGCCAAATCTAATGCCAGATCGGGTGACGACGCTGGGCTCTCGGGATTGCTGCTGGGCGGCGTGAGTAAGGGGTCCCGGTCGATCTTGACGATCCCAACACCATCGTACTCCTGCCTTTGACGTTCCTCCTCGACCGCTTCCAGCGCGGCCTCAACTCTGCGACGCGCATCGTTACCTGGCAAATTAAGTAGAGACGAGCAATCAGCGGTGTCGAGGCCAACGCCGCCATTAGGAGTTAAACCAAAACTGGTATACGCCGGTTCGGGATAAAAGAATACGTGGTGGTGATGAGTCGCCGGTTCCAGCGGCGTGCTCACGACTACGCTCGCCTGAAAACGCTCCTCGATGCTGCCGAGGACGGTTTCCGCCGTGTTGGCGGGCGGCGCCGTCACCGGTTGCGAATACTGCTGTTCCCTGTTGCCAGAATACAAATAATACGCCAAGTCGCGTTGAACGGCATAAGGACTCGTCGTCGAATCTGGATAGGCCTCTTCAGTCTTCATATGATTCTCCTTGTCGTCGGCGGTAGCAGCGGCGGCGGCGGCGGCGGCGGCGATACCGAGTAGACTCGGGCTTGCCGGAACAAGACGGGCGGCCGAACCGAGACTGCTACCGAGACCGCCCACCGCGTCACCGGTGCCAACCTGAGAGATTTCAATGTCCGGCTCGATCGGCGAGCCGATCGGCACCGATGGCGAGGAGATGCCGCTGTCGGTGATGGTCGAGGTGAGGGACGTCGGTGATTCCGGGTGCTTCTTGATGTGCAGCTCCATTGTCTTTTTCGAGTTGAAGGTCTCATTGCAGATCGTACACTTGTATACCTTCTCACCGTAGTGCGAGACTTGGTGCAGCTTGAGCACGTGGTTGTAGCCGAATGCCTTGCGGCATATCTCACAGGTATAGGGCTTCTCGCCGGTGTGGGTGCGCGTGTGCACCTTCAATTGCTTCGAACAGGTGAAACCCTTCTTGCACGACTCGCACACGTACGGCTTCTCGCCGGTGTGCGTGCGCATGTGTATCACCAGCTGGCCGCTCTGTATAAACGTCTTGGCGCATACACTGCACTTGTGCGGTCGTTCGCCGGTATGGATGCGCATGTGACGGTGCAATTTGCCACTGTGTTCGAACGCGCGGCCGCACACGTCGCATTTGTACGGCCGTTCCTTCGTGTGGATGCGCCGGTGCACGCTGAGGTTCTCCTTCACCGAAAACGATTTGCTGCAATACTCGCACTGATACGGCTTCTCGCCGGTGTGGGTGCGAAAGTGCCGCGTCAACCGCGCCGGTACGGCGAACGTTTTGCCGCAGACGTTGCAGCGATACGGATCTTCGCCCTCCTTGCCGTGAGACCTCAAGTGACTCTGGTACACGCTCTTCTGCGCAAAGTTCTTCCGACAAACCAGACATTGGTACTTTCCGGTGCAATCCGCCGTTGTTGGACAAGTAGAGTCCGTGCTCTCCACGCCGTTACATCTCGAAGTGGCAAATATCGTTAGATCCGGACTGCACACCAGACTCTTCACCGAGTTCGTTGTTTCCATCCCGCCGCCCGGTGCCGGCCTCGTCCCCGATCCCGGCCCCGGCCCTGGTCCCGGCATCGATATCGCTGAATTTGCCATGGATTCCGTTTGATAGTAGCCCAACATTGAAGACTTGGGAGACTGGAACTAAAACAAAAA